GAAAGAATAATAATAAGAAAAGAAAAAGATATAAATGGTGATATTAATAATAAATGAAATTATAAATAATAATATAATAATAATGAAAGAAATAAATGATAATTCAATGAGAATAAAAAAGAAAGAAAAGGATAATATAGAATAAGAAGTATATTGAAAGAAAAGAAAAATGAGAAAGTTAAATCAATGATAAAAAAAAGAAGAAAGAAATAAGGAATATAAAGAAAAGAAATGAATGAAGAGATATACAGTTTCAAGAATAATAAATATGAAAATCAAATAATATAAAAATAAATAAATAATGAATAAATAATTTAATACATTTTATTTGATTGATATTTTATGATTTTGTTTCATTTATTGATTATGGATAAGTAGACATTATTGACAATAAAATAATAATTTGGAAGATATTTTGCATTTATGAATGTTTTGTGTTTTTGTTATTAAAATAAATAAGAATATAAAGAAATAATAAGAAATGAAAAATATAATGGGAAGCACAAAGAGTCTAGTAGTAGAAATCCATCTTCAAAGGTGGATATCCAGGTTCGATTCCTGGATAGTGCATCTTTTATTTTATATTATTTTTAAATATTTAGAATTTGTTTTATTATTTTTCATTTTGTTTTTATGATAAATACGTTTTATAATTCTAATCAGTAATTATTTCAATTTATCTCTTTTCTTATCAATCAATTTCCATCATTGTATTCTATTTGATTTATTATGTCTTATTATTTGATTTTCATAATTTTAATATTTATCATATTGTTCAAATGATTTAATAAATGATATGAATATTATTTGATTGAATATATAGATTTTAGATTCTTTATTTCTACTTATTTTATCAAGAGTGTGGTATTATCTTTTATTTCTATTATATTCATTTATTATTCAATAGTCAATTTATTCTTATTTATTTATATTTTGAATATATTCAATATTGTAGAATATAATTATTTGTTATTTGTTATTTCGTATTTTATTTCTATTGTTTTATTATATTTATAATTCATGTTAATTCTCATTCATTTTATCATTTCTATTAACTATATGATAGTTACCATTATATATAATTATTAATTCATAATTTAGAATAATTATTATCACTTTAATATTCTTACAACATCTTATTATTTATTCAACATACTTCATTTTAATACTTTTATATTTTATACAACTTATTCTCTTGTTTTAATTATTTGTAAAATTCGATAGAAATAAATGTTAAATGCAGTATTAGTAAGTATGATGGTTGAATATGTTATTGAATTAGTAAGAACAGGAATGTACTACTGTACAAGGGAATGTGAAATAGAAATAACATATTAGATAGATGGTACAGTAAGAAATGAATGTGGAATAGAATTAAAAAATAATGATTCATAAAATAAATGAAACAAAAATAGAAGAAATAATAAATGAAGGGATTGAAAAGAAAAAAGAAAAAGAAGTAGTAGAAATAAAGAAATTATTGACAAATACATCAAAAAATGGAAGTGTCATCAGACAAATGGACACTTTAGAAGATGGTTTGAGTCAAAATGAGTAGATAAAACTACTACAGTGAAAGCATGGAAGTCAATCAATATTAAGAAAAATGCATTTCTACAATTAACTAAAATGCAAGATGGTGCAATATTTTGTGGGTATAGAAAAGCAAAAATAATGAAAAATGAAAGATTGAAATACTCAACACTTTGTAAAGACAAGATAGCCACAGTAGAACACATTTTACTATCTTGTATTTGTTATAAAAATCACAAATAGAAAAACATGATAATATCGGCATAATAATATTGATTAATAAGAAAATACACAGGAAATAATCAATATAAAAAACCCCCATATGAAACAATGTTCCAATATAAAGACATTACAATGATATGGAACAAATAATGCATAAAAGTGAATGACAATACCACAAAAGATCAGACATATACGTATTAGATAAAAAGAATCAAACTAGTCTATTATTTGATATGACGATTGTGGCTGATCACAATATTAATGGAGAATAAATGAAGAAAAGAAATAAGTATAAGGAATTAAAGAATATTCTAATGAAAATAGAGAAAATAAAAGATGTCAGAATAATTCCAGTAGTAATTTCAATTAATAGATTAATAAATAAAGAAAGTAATAAATTAATTAAAGAATTAAAAATTGACATTGACATCGAGAAAGAAATTAAAGACCTTGTAATAAAAAATATGATTGATGTTATGGAATATTGCTTCAATCACAACCAAACATACTCCGTAGAACTACTAGAAGAAGAATACTCATTTGGATTAGTCTCTCCTGATCCATTAACAATAGAAACTAGTTCTATTAATATTTAATTAATTGCTTTTTATTATTCTCTACTTTATTATGAAAATAAGATTATTCTTTTGGGTTTATTGTCAAAAAAAACTTTAGATAATGTAAATGAATATTATAATAGAAAAAATTACAATATAAATGATTTGTTTCATGAGAAAAAGGTTATTTTGTAAAAAGTACCAGTTACTTAGATATAATTCAATAGTGATAATAAATTAAAAGTATTACCTACAAATACATATGAAAGTTGTCTCATTTTAAAACTTATTAAATTATATTGTAAATATCAAATTAATACACCCACCAAATGAAGAAAAAGAAAAATATATAAATGATATAAAACAAATAACAGTTAATATGATAAAGATATTTTTCTTCTTAATTATCAAATAAAGGAAACAAATTCAATAAATAACAACTTATTTTAAATATAATGTCATTTATTAAAAAAAAGAATTATTTGATAAACCAAATTAAGGATATAATTCTTTAATTTTTAAGAACAAAATTGAGAAGTAATTTATTTTTGTTTTGACTTTCATTTATATCTTTTCTATCTTAACCAATTTTTTTAAATGGTTGACATTCAAATAATTATATCAATTATACATTCTTTCAATGTATTTAAAAATGCTTCATTTTCTTTTATTTATTTTGTGAGTAACACTTTTATAAAGGTTATATGACAGTTATTTTCTCCATTACAAATTAATTCATTCAAAACAATTTCTTTATAAAAAAACATCATCAAAAACAAAAAAAGATAACAGAACAACAAAGGAATGAAAAAATCCAAAAAAACGAAAGAATAACCCTTCTATCACACGTGGATCAACGCAATCAAAGAGAAGAAATAAAAAGGAGAATAAAGAGTTTTTAAACATTGATAATAAAATGTTACCAACTCTTCCTGAATATAAAGCTCTTGAAGCAAAGTATGAACAAATGAAAACATTTGTTATGAAAGAAGCATTTAGTAAAGATCCAGAACGATTTAAAAAGTTTTCACTTCAATTTGAAGATATTTTTGTAGATTATTCAAAGAACCTTATTGATGAAGAAACAATGAAACTTTTAATTAAATTATGTGAAGCAGTTCATTTAAAAGAAAAAATTGAAGCAGAATTTACAGGAGTTAAAATTAATACTACAGAAAAAAGAGCAGTTCTTCATACAGCACTTAGAAATAGAAGTAATAATCCAGTACTTGTTGATGGAAAAGATGTTATGCCAGGTGTTAATGCAGTTCTTAATAAAATGGGAAAATTTGCAGAAGGAGTAAGAAATGGAAGTATTAAAGGATATACTGGTAAAGAATTTACAGACATTGTTAATATTGGAATTGGAGGAAGTGATCTTGGACCTGTTATGGTTACAGAAGCACTTAAATATTATCAACATGAACGATTAACACTTCATTATGTTTCAAATGTTGATGGAACACATATGGTAGAAGCTTTAAAGAAATGTAATCCCGAAACTACACTTTTTGTTATTTGTTCAAAAACATTTACAACAGCTGAAACATTAATGAATGCACATTCTGCACGTAAATGGTTTGTAGAAAAAACAGGAAATGAAGAAGCAGTTTCAAAACATTTTGTAGCAGTATCAACAAATGCAACAGAAGTTTCAAAATTTGGTATAAATACAGATAATATGTTTGAATTTTGGGATTGGGTTGGAGGAAGATATTCACTTTGGAGTGCTATTGGATTGACTATTATGATTTCTATTGGAGAACAAGGATTTCTTGATCTTCTTTCAGGAGCACATGCTATGGATAAACATTTTAGAAATACAGAATTTGCACATAATATTCCAGTTATACTTGCTGTTCTTGGAGTATGGTATAATAATTTATATCAAGCACAATCACATGCTATTCTTCCATATGATCAATATCTTCATAGATTTGCTGCTTATTTCCAACAAGGAGATATGGAAAGTAATGGTAAAAGAATTACTAAAGATGGAAAAGTAGTTAATTATACTACTGGTCCAATTATTTGGGGAGAACCAGGAACTAATGGACAACATGCATTTTATCAACTTCTTCATCAAGGAACTAAATTAATTCCAGCAGATTTTATTATTCCAGCAAATAGTTTAAATCCAATTGGAAAACATCATACTGTTCTTTTAGCTAATTTTATTGCACAAACAGAAGCATTAATGATGGGTAAAACTGAAGAACAAGTTATTGGAGAATTAAAAGCAACAGGTATGTCAGATGAACGTATTAAAGAACTTCTTCCACATAAATTATTCCCAGGAAATAGACCAACTAATTCTATTGTTTTTAAGAAAATGACACCATATGTACTTGGTTCATTAATTGCTATGTATGAACATAAAATATTTGTTCAAGGATGTATTTGGAATGTTAATTCATTTGATCAATGGGGAGTTGAACTTGGAAAACAACTTGCTAAAGCAGTTGAAAAAGATCTTGAAGCAGAAGGTCTTGTTAATAAACATGATGGTTCTACAAGTGGACTTATTAATCTTGTTAAAGATATGAGAAAAAACTAATTGAATAAAGAATTAAAGAATATTTTAAAAGAGAATATAAACAAGTTTTAATGGAATAAGAAAAAGATAAAAGAAAACCCTTTTTTAAAAAAAAAAATAAAACTTATAAAGAAGTTATTTTATTCATTTTAATGTCTTCTTCTCCAATTGATAATAATGATAATAAAGAAAAAAGTATTAAAACAACAAAACCAATTGAATTAAGAAGAAAAACAAGATATGAAGGAATTGTTGATTCAGTAGAATTTGGAGGAAAAGGAGTTGTAAATTTTGAAGGAAGAAGAATTATGTTAGATCATGTTATTCCAGGACAAAAAGTATCATTTTGTATTTGTAAAATTAGAAAAGGAAAATGTCCAGGAGGAAGTGTTGAAGTAATTGAAAAATCACCATTTGAAGATGTAGAAGATATTTGTAAACATAATAAAGAATGTGGAGGATGTTTATATCAAAGTATGGGATATCAACATCAATTAGAAATGAAGAAAACACAAGTATTACAAATGATAAATAAAGAAATAAAAGACTATCAATTTGATGGAATTAAAGCAAGTCCAATCAATATTGGATATAGAAATCGAATGGATTATACATTTGGAGATGGATATATTGGAGGACCATTAGAATGTGGATTACATAAAATGTATCATTTTAATGATGTAGTAACAACAATTGATTGTAGAATAGTTGATAAAGATTTTAATGAACTTCTTTTATTTACAAGAGATTATTTTAGAATAAAGAATATACCACATTATAATAAAATTAAACATACTGGATATTTAAGAAATTTATTAATTAGAAAAGCAAAGAAAACTAATGAAATTATGTATTGTTTAATTACTTCATCTCAACTTAATGTTGATTTAAATGAATTAAAAAATAAATTATTAGAACTTCCTTTAATGGGAAAACTTGTTAGTATTATTCATTGTATTTTTGATGATATAACAGATATTGTTGGATATGATAAAATGAACGTATTATATGGAAATGATTATATTACTGAAGAATTACTTGGATTACATTTTAAAATTACACCAATGTCTTTCTTCCAAACAAATTCACTTGGTGCTGAAGTATTATATCAAACAGTAAGAGACTATATAACTACAATACGTTGTGATATTATTTTTGATTTATATTGTGGTACAGGAACTATTACTCAACTTCTTTCTCCAATTTGTAAAAAAATTATTGGTGTTGAATTAAATCAAGACGCAATACGTGCAGCAAAATTAAATGCTGAATTAAATAAATTAACTAATTGTGAATTTAGAGCTGCTGATGTTAATATTGAATTAGATCAACTTCAAGAAAATAGACCAGAATTAATTGTTCTTGATCCTCCAAGAACAGGTATTCATCCTAATGCATTATCAAAAATTATTAAATATGGTGCTCAAACAATTGTTTATGTTTCATGTATGCCAACAACATTAATTAGAGATTTAATTGTATTAGAACAAAATGGATATAAAGTTAAAAATATTACTTTAGTTGATATGTTTCCAAATACACCACATGTAGAAACAGTTTGTTTATTAAAGAAAATAAACTCACCTAATTGAAATGAATTTTTAATTTTTAATTTATATTACACTACATTCTATCCATTCTTGTTTGAAAAGGAAAAAGGAATACTTCAAAAGTAGAATAAAAAATTAAAAACGTAATGGACCTTAACTTCATCATACGTCCTACCATTTTGTTTATAACAATTTTATTAAAAAAAAAAAAAAAGAGAAATAAAAACAAAACTTGTATTTTATTATTCTTATGAGTTGTTCTCATAATTGTTCAAATTGTTCTTTAAAAGGTAATTGTAATCAATTACCTAATCCATCAAATTGTTCACATAATTGTGATGGATGTCCATCAAAAGGTTCATGTTCATCAAGTACTTCATCTCAAGGAGGATGTTCACATAATTGTGATAGTTGTCCATCAAAAGGAAAATGTGGAGGAGGAAATAATGGACCAGACAGAGAACTTGAAGAAATTATTGAAAAATTAAAAGGAATTAAACATAAATATGTAATATTATCAGGAAAAGGAGGTGTTGGAAAAAGTACATTTGCTACTCAATTCTCATGGGTTCTTTCAGAAGATAAACAAGTAGGATTATGTGATTATGATATTTGTGGACCTTCTATTCCACAAATGTTTGGACAAATTGGAGTGAATGTTACTAGTGGAATGACAGGATTACAACCAATTTATGTCACAGAAAATTTATGTACTATGAGTATTGGATATCTTGTAGCAACTGAAACTGCTGTTGTATGGAAAGGACCAAAGAAAAATTCATTAATAAGACAATTTATTCATGATGTTGATTGGGGAGAACTTGATTATTTAATTATTGATACACCACCAGGAACATCTGATGAACATTTAACTATTGTAAGTATTTTAAATAAATGTAATGTTGATGGAGCTATTATTATTACTACACCACAAGATGTTTCATTAATTGATGTTAGAAAAGAAATTAATTTTTGTAAGAAAATAGGATTACCAATTATTGGAGTAGTAGAAAATATGAGTGGTTTTATTTGTCCATGTTGTCATAAAGAAAGTACTATTTTCCCACCAACTCATGGAGGAGCAAAACAAATGTGTGAAGAAATGGGAGTTAAATTTTTAGGAAAAATTCCATTAGATCCAATAATTGCACATTCATGTGATATTGGAGCACCATATTTCCTTGAACATCCAGACTCAGAAGCAACAAAGAATTTCAAACGAATATATAAGGAAATAATAACAAATCTTTAAATGAAAGAAATGTTACACCAAATTTTATGTTATTTTCAAACTGTTTTAAAGAAGAAAAAGAAAGAAAGAAAGAAAAAAAAAAAACACACAACCCTAAAAAGTAAGAAATAAAAGAGAAATATAACTGAGAAATAACAATATAATAATGCCTAAAGCTAAAAAAGTAACTAAGGAAAAAGTTAAACGAGTTAAAGGAGAAAAAAATACAAAAAAGTCTAAAACTCTTCAAAAAGAAGGAAATGATATTACACCACTTGTTAATGAAGAAGGAGAAGTTAAATATAATACAAGATCAAAAGATAGTGCTATTGTTTCAGTTGGAAAACAAGGAACAGAAAGTAAAGCATGGCCAGATTATGTATTTTTAAAAGGAACATCATTTTCAAGTAGTAATAAAGATAAAGCAAAGGATATTAAAATAGAAAATTTTACATTACAAGTACCAGGAAAAGTTCTTCTTAATAATTCATCATTAACAATGGGATTTGGATCAAAATATGGATTAGTTGGAAAAAATGGAATTGGTAAATCAGTATTAATGTGTGCTATTTCAGGAAGAGAAAGTGGTACTCCTTTTGGTAATATTCCAGCAAATATTAGAATTTTACATGTTCAACAAGAAGTTCCAGGAAATGAATTAACACCATTAGAAACAGTATTACAAGCAGATATTGAAAGATTATGGTTAATTAATGAAGAAAAAAGATTATTAGCAGAAAAAGATAAAAAACCAGAAAATGAAGAACATGAAGAAAGTATAGAAGAAGAAGATATAGAACCACCATATGATTTAAATGATATTTATGAAAGAATGAAAGAAATTGAAGCAAGTAAAGCAGAACCAAGAGCATTAAAAATATTAAAAGGACTTGGATTTGCAGAAGATGAAATGAAAACTAAAACAACTAAAGAATATTCAGGAGGATGGAGAATGAGAATTTCATTAGCTACAGCATTATTTTTACAACCAGATTTATTAATTTTAGATGAACCAACAAATCATCTTGATTTAAATGCAGTTATTTGGTTAGAACATTATTTAATGAATTGGAAAAAATCATTATTACTTGTTTCACATGATACATCATTTTTAAATAATGTATGTGATCATATTGTTCATTTTACTAATCAAACATTAACAACATATAGAGGTGATTATGGTAGTTTCTTAAAAGCATTAGAAATGAAAAAAAATTCAGATGAAAAGAAAAAAAGAATCGAAAAGGCAGAACAACAAAAAGCAAAGAAAAAAGGAGAAGAAAAGAAAAAAGTAAAAGTTCAATTAACAAAACAAGAAAAAGCAAGTAAAGAATTAGAAGGAAAAGCACCTGTCTTTGAATTTCCTGATCCAGGAGATTTTGATACTTGTGCTGTTCAATTTGATGAAGTTTCATTTAAATATGTAGGAGCAAAACAACCAATTTTTAGAGATTTACAATTTGGAATTTATCTTAAAAGTAGAATTGGATTAGTTGGACCAAATGGAACAGGTAAATCTACATTAATGAAATTAATTGATGGAGAATTAAAAGAAACAACAGGATTTATTACTCGTGATAGACAATTAAGAATTGGTAGATTCCATCAACATCATGTTGACCAATTACCTATGGATATTTCTTCTATAGAATATATGCAAAAAACATTCCCATCAGCTCAAATTCAAGAAATTAGACAATTCCTTGGAAGATTTGGATTAAAAGGAGATACTCCAAAACAACAAATACAAACATTATCAGGTGGTCAAAAAAGTAGATTAGTTTTTGCTGAAATTTGTTGGAAAAAACCACATTTATTACTTCTTGATGAACCTACAAATCATCTTGATGCAGACTCAATTGAATCATTGATTGAAGGATTATCCACTTTTGGAGGTGGATTAGTATTAATTTCACATCATCAACATATGATTGAATCTGCATGTGAAGAAATTTGGGTTGTAAAAGGAAATGGTACTGTTGAACGATTTGATGGAGACTTTAATGATTATAAGAATATGTTATTGAAAGATATGGATCTTGATGATGAAGATAATTAATTAATAATTAAAACTTTTTTTTTTAGTAAATCAAATAAATTATTCTTGATGTTCTTTATTCTTAAAGTCATAAGGAATGAAGCCTAAAATAATAGGTAAATGTTTTGGAAGATGAAGTGCTTCATGCCAATTTTCAGATAATGATTTGTAATATGGTAATGAAATAAAAATGGTTTTATTCTTAAAACATTGTCCTAAATAAACTACAAGTTCCATCATTGTTAAATTAAGTGAAAAACAAATACTATTTAATAAAACTTGAAGAATCATTACCATTGTAATATTAAAGAAGAATAATGATAATATTAATGTAGTCCAAAATGGAAAATTATCATTTGAATAATACATTTTCCAAATATACCATAAATGAGTATCACAAATTAACATTCCTCTAAAACATCCTACCATAAATAAAAAGAAATATTTTGCATTATGATATCCAATACATGCACTCATCCATGAACAATGATGATCATATTTTGTTATACATCGTTTACAAAATCCACAATGATGTGTTCTTGCAGGTCTTGGTTTATTACATATACTACATACTTCTTCACTATCATATAATAAATTTCTTTCATATCCTAAATCAACTTCTTTAGGTTGAACAAAATGACATTTAAAGAATGACCAAAATATTTGATAATATGTGTAATGTAATTCAAAATAAAACCAAAATAATCTTTCAGTCCATGACCAATTGAAATAAAAATATTTCATAATAAAATACACACACAACACATATGTTATTACTAATAAACATGGTATTATTACCCATAAATATTTTACTACAATTAATATTTTTTTTGCAACTATTCCTGGTAATCCTTCTATTCTACTTATTGTATCTTCAACATTTTCCATATCAGCAATCTTAGTGTCTTTAATACTAATAGATGATTGATTATTTTGTTGTTGCTCAGTCATATTATTAGTATTTCCTTTTCTCAGTTTTCGTTTTTTTTATTTTTTTTTTATTTTTTTTTTTTTTCATACTTTCGTTTTTCTTTTCATCTAGGAATTGATAACTAGTTCATAATGAGTCAGAAACCTCCTGTTAGATTCACTATTGGTTCACGTAAAGTGGCTATAACTAAGAAAGAACCAGAAAATACTGCAATACCTATTGTTGAAACAATGCTTAAACATCAAATGATTGCTAATATTAAAAATAGAAATAATAATGAAAATCAATCAAATGAAATTACAGATTTAATGAAAGCTGTTGATGAAATGAAGAAGATTGATGTTAGAGATACAAATAGAAAAATAGATATGATAGAAAATATTTTATTATCAATAGAAAAGGAAAGTTTAAAAAATGATGTTAATTTAAAAAGTATTAAAGAATCAGTAAATCATCAACATGTTGTATTAGAACAATTTCTTGTTTAAAATTATTTGTTTTTCTTTTCCTTGGAGGTTTTAAATAGAAGATAAATAATGTAACAATCCTAAAATCAAATACAAAGAATATCATATTTAGTACAAATACTTTCACACAATTATATTCAATAATAATGAATAATCAGTAAAAAACATAAACAAATTACATTTATTTTTCTTTCTAAAATATTCATTTTCATTATTTCTGATAAAAAAAAACTTAAAAAGAAGAAAAGAAAGAAATGAATATTAACCAATACATTAGTTATTTAAAGGAATGGAGTCATTTATCAAATACTACAATATTATTTGATAGTGCAACAGATGAATTAACTGCAAGAAATGTTTATAGTAAAATTAGTGGGAAAACACACATTTATTTTATTGTTGAAGATAGTTTTGGAAATGTATTTGGGTCATATCACAATTATATTCCACAACAAGATGAAACGGTAGGATATGAAAAGGATCCCGATCATTTCATTTTTACTTTACATAACCCACATAATATTGAACCTTCAAAATATGAACCAAATAAAAATAATAATGATCTTATTCATACCTATTATAACTATGATATTAATAATGTTTTAAATATTCAACATGCTTATGGAATAACAAGTAATTCTAAAGTATTTATATATGAATCTATTATCAATTATTATATTAATATTCCAAATAATGATCCACGGGTATTTACAACTACAGTTAATTGTTTTGTTAATATGAAAAGACTTCTAATCATTGAAATGAATTAAAAACATTTTTTTTTTCCTTTTTTTCTTTTTGATTTCATTGATTTTCTTTAATAAAGAATCTCTCAAAAACCATAATAATTCTACTAATAAAAATTCAATTCAATTCTGCTTACAACATAAAGAAAAGAAGAAGAGCCATGAGTGAAATAATTGTTGCTGGTGCAAAATCAGTTCCATCACTTAATTTGATTTGAATTTTTGATTTTTCATTTCCTTGAAGCATAATTTTAACTGGAGTTTTTTCATTAATATTTGATAATTCTAAAAATCCATTTTCAGCTCCATTAGTATGGAAACAAGCATTACCTGAACATGTTTCAGTTAAATTAGTTGTATAAAATAATGTTGGAATAACTTTACCTTTCATTGCAAAGTAAATATTCTTATCTCCTTTAGCTGGTGTGTAAATAACAAAATTTAATACTTTTTTATCTGATTTACTTCCTCCGTATTCAAATTCTGTAGAAAATCTAAAGTCTTTATTTGGAAGAATAACATATGGTTCTTTATCATAACTTTTTATAGTTTCACTTGATTGTTCTTTTCCACATGTCGTTGAAATAATTACATCTTGTGAGAAACATAATGCTTCAGTTTTACATTGGACATAAGCAGCAATATAATATTCATCATATGATTTTTCAAAAGAAAGTGTAAGTGTTCCACTAGTACTACTAGTTTGTTCTTTACAATAAGTACTTCCTTGTGGATTAATGAAATTTGTTCCAATTCCTGTATAATTGTTTGGAATTTCTTCTTTTTTACCAATACAAACAGCAAGACGATTTAATAAATTATTTGTAACAAAATATTGGAAAGATAATTCAACTGTTCCAATAACAGCGTTGTCACTGGGATTAACAGTAGTCCATAATTCTTTTTGTCTTGTAGCATTAAAAATAAAATAATTTGGAACTCCTTTTGCTTGGAAATTAGCTTCAAGAACAGTATGATCATATAATCTACCTGCTGATTGAACATCAAAATCAGCAGAAACAAATGCAACTAATAAGAAGAAAAGCATTACTGTATTTTTAAGATCTTTTGTAGAATCTTTTTAAATTATGATTTGTCTTTTTCAACTCATTTCTTTTCCTCATTGGTATGGAAAGGGTTTATTTGAAAGAATAAATTAAACTCTCGCTAATATATATCTATTCTATTACTCTCATTCATCCAATCTAATCTCAAAAAAAAAACATATTTTTACTTTCAAAACTTAAAATATTAAAAATACCCATAAAATTTATTGTTTTTGATTTGTGTGGTAGTTCTGAGAATAGAACATACTTATTATTTATAAAACTTTTCAATAATAACAAAAAATAATAACAAAAAAAAAAGGATAAAGAAAACCCTAAAAAAATAAGAAAAGAACTTTATAACCATTTAAAGGATGTCTAAACAACTCTTCCTCAATAGATGTAAAGATGTAGAAGAATACCAAAAGGCAGGTCATAATCCATGGCCACATAAATTCAATGTTAGTATTACTGTTCCAGAATTTATTGCTAAATATTCTGGACTTGAAAAATCACAAGTTAGTGATGATATTGTTAGTGTTGCAGGAAGAGTTCTTTCAAAAAGATCATCATCATCAGCCCTTATGTTTATTGATTTACATGATTCACAAACAAAATTACAAATTATGTTGAATAAATCAGCATATGAAAATAAAGAAGATTTTGTTTCATTAACCAAAATGATTTATAGAGGAGATATTTGTGGATTTACTGGACATCCAACACGTACCAAAACAGGAGAACTTTCACTTATTCCAATATCAGGAATGATTCTTTCACCATGTCTTCATATGTTACCATCAATGCATTATGGATTAGGAGATCAAGAAACAAGATTTAGAAAGAGATATCTTGATTTAATTGTAAATCCCGAAAGTGTTAAGAATTTTGTATTAAGAACAAAAGTTGTTAAAGCTGTAAGAAAATATCTTGACGATAAAGGATTCCTTGAAGTTGAAACCCCAATTTTAAATACAATTCCAGGAGGAGCTACTGCTAGACCATTTATTACACATCATAATCAACTTGATATTCAAATGTATATGAGAATTGCACCAGAATTATATTTAAAAGAATTAGTTGTTGGAGGAATTAATAGAGTTTATGAAATAGGAAGATTATTTAGAAATGAAGGTATTGATCAAACACATAATCCAGAATTTACTACATGTGAATTTTATATGGCATATGCAGATTATAATGATATTATGAAAATGACAGAAGAACTTCTTGGAAATATGGTTAAAGATATTACAGGAGGATCAACTAAATTAGAAATTAAAGACAGATTAATGGATATAAATAATGAAGAAGATATTAAAATGTTAGAAAAATTCTTTAAAGAACCAATTCCAAGACCATTTAATTCAGCCGAATGTAGTAAAGTTATTGAAAAGCATTGTACTGAATTAAATTATTATTATGATGGTAATAATGAAAAAGCTATGAAGAAACTCTTTGCAGATTTTGTAACAGAAAAGAAAATGGTACTTGACTTTACTGCACCATTTAAAAGAATTTCATATGTTCATGCTCTTGAAGAGAAATTTGGAGAAAAAATTCCAAGACCACTTGATGGACCAGAAGCACTTACTTTTCTTAAAAAACAAGCTATTAGATTTAATGCTATTTGCGCTGAACCACAAACTACTGCACGTGTTATGGATAAATTATTTGGAGATTTGATTGAAGTTGATCTTGTTCAACCAACATTTGTTTGTGATCAACCACAATTAATGAGTCCACTTGCTAAATATCATAGAAGTGAACCAGAATTAACTGAACGATTTGAATTATTCATTCTTAAGAGAGAAATTGCTAATGCATATACAGAATTAAATAACCCAATTGTCCAAAGATCTAATTTCGAACAACAAGCTAAAGATAAAGCTGCTGGAGATGATGAAGCACAACTTGTTGATGAAGTATTCCTTGATGCAATTGAACATGCATTCCCACCAACAGGAGGATGGGGACTTGGAATAGATAGATTAGCTATGCTTCTTGCAGATGTAGATAATATTAAAGAAGTTATTTTATTCCCAACTATGAGACCAGAAGATGAATTAGAAAAGAAAGCACGTGAAGCTAAAGAAGATGCTATGGTTGCACAAGAACTTGCTGCTACTGAAGAAAAAGGAGGAAAGAAAGTTGTCAAACCAAAAGCTAATAAACAACAACCAGTTAAAGAAGTTCTTGATGGATTCCAATTAGAAATTAGAGTTGGTAAAATTGTTGAAGCTGGACCACATCCAAATAGTGAACATCTTCTTGCACTTAAAGTTGATGTTGGAGAAGAAAAACCAAGAAGTGTTGTTGCTGGACTTGCTGAACATTATAAACCAGAAGAATTATTAAATCAAAAAGCTACTTTTGTATGTAACTTAAAACCATCCAAATTAAGAGGAGTTGCATCAGAAGCTATGATTCTTGCTGCTACTTCACTTGATGGTACTAAAGTTAAATTCTGTCATCCAAGTGCTGATGCTGCTATTGGAGCACAAGTTATTCCAAAAGAAGGTAAAGTTACTATTTCTGCTAAGAAGATTTCAATTGATGTTGTTGGAAAGATGAATCTTGCATTGAAAGGAGGATTAGTTAGAACTAATGACGTTCCACTTATTGTTAAAGATACTGAACTTACAGTGACTGTTGATGAAGTTGTTGATGGAACTGTTAGATAAGTTTTAAATGAACGGTTTTTCTTTAGATTTAATTTTTTAATTATTCATAAATGAAAAGACAAGATAAAAGATATAACAGGTTATTTAAAGGTAAAGAAATGTTTATTTTGAATTATTTCTATTTTATTTCTTTTGTTTTTGAGTATTTACTCAATTAACAGTAATACATTTAATAAATGTTAAATTATCATACAGAGAGATTGAATAAGATTAATTGAATTGTTGTCTATAAGAGTTTTAAAAAATAACAAACTAAAAAGAAAAGAACCAATATAAATAACATAAAAATAAAAAGCAATTAATTAAGTGTTAATAGAAATAACTTTTATTATTCCTGCCTCAGCGGAGATTAATCTTTTTCAATAAGTGTTATTCTAAAGGTTCTATAGAATATGTTTGAATATGAGAGAATTTGTATTCAATGACGTCCATCATGTTTTTAATTACATGGTTTTTAATTTCTTTCTCGATGTCAATGTCATTTTTTAATTCTTTAATTGATTTAATACTTTATTTATTTACTAATCCATTTATTGAAATTACTACTGGATTTATTTTGTCATATTTTAATTTTTCTATTTTCTTTAGAATATTCTTTATTTCCATGTCTTTTCTTCATTTATTCTAAAGTAATATCGTTATTTTTGTATATTTCATTATTTGTTTTTTCCTTGTTCTAATTTTCTTATTAGAATCAAACATGATTTTATTTGTATTGACTCTGACTATTTCTTCCTTATTAAATTTAATTCTTTATTCATTGTCATCATATATTTTAGGTACTTTATTCTTTCCAGTGTTTTAACTTTGATTCATTCTTCATCATATTCATTTAATTTCATGTTGCACTTTATTCTGTACATTTTCTTCTCTTGACCAAATCTTCTAGTCTATTGATTTTCTTTAGGATTTCTTTTATTTCATCAAATTTGTCTCCTATTATTTTATTTTGGAGATAAAGGTGCATAGCCATTGAAATCTTCTTCATATCATCTTGCAGTTACTGCATTCTGCTTCCTGACAATATCAATCTATTATTAATTTCCATTATTAATCGGTCAGCTTCTTTTCATTGAATATAGTAATTAATGTTTGAACATTTTTCGATTTTCATTTCTTTCACTTTATTGATGAGAGTGTTAAGGTATTCTTCATCAATTTCAGTAGAGTTATTCTTTAATATGATGTTTTTTATTATTGAATTAAACTCTACTCTTCCTTCTATTATATCATTTACTTTCACTCTAATGTACCGTTTAGTATTTTCTTTTATTTAATATGATATTTTAATATATTTAATATATTCATTTTCATTATTGACATTGATATTTGTCACTTTTATTATACTTTCTATTTATTCCCAATCTTTTGTTTTTTTCTTTAATTTCTTATTTAACCAATTAATTCAAAACAATACATCACTTCAATTAAATTTCTGTTTCTTTCTTTTGTTATATTTATTCTTGTATTTTCATTATGTTTTGTTTATTATTTATTATTCTTACAATTTTACATTTATCATTCATTTCTTTAATTGGGTTTTGTTTTTAATTTCTTCTTCAATTGTTTTAATGTCTTTTTCTTCATTGTCTTTTGTTTTTTTCTCTAATTTCTTCATTAGTTTTTCAATTATCTTTTTCTTTTTGATTGAATATACTTCTTGAAGAATATCATACCTTCTTTTTCTTTTATCTTCTTACTTTTTGAGTATTTCTTCATATTCTCCTTTATTTCATTCACTTGTTATTCTTTTTATTCTTTCTTGTATCTCATTTCTTGTTATTCATTTATATTTGTTATGGGTGTAATTATTATTGTATTTTCCTTGTATTTATTTGTATCTTTCGTCTTCTAATCCATTTTCCTTGTTATTTCATTTATCATTATTACTATTATGTCATTTATTGTTATTGACATTCATTTTTTTATTGTATGACATTGGATTTCTATTTCTTGTTTGCTTTTCTTTACAAGACACAATGGTTTTATACATAGCAATTGCATTAAAAATTTGTTGTATTTCCTGCACTGGAAAGTATCTGTTGATCCAATATAATTTAGAAAGAAATAAAAAGAAGAAAAATTGAATGACGATTATCTTAAAAATAAAAGAAGTTCAAACTAAAAATAAAAGAAGAACTAATAAATAATAAAATAATAAAGAAAGAATGCAATTAGGATATAATGAAATAATGATTGTCTCGAAGTATTTTAAAGATATTAAAGATTTTATTAATTTAGAAATTGGAATTAAAAGATTTCAAGGAAATATGGAACGATTTCATTTTAATCCAATTCCATTGAATCAATATTCAAGAAGATTGTTTCCTAATATTGAAACATTTCATATTTATAATAACTATGATGAAATATTTGAAGATGGAAGAATATTTAAACAAATAATATGGTATAAAGTAGAATATTCAAGATATTTAAAAGAGAAAAATGAAATGAATGAATGTAAAAATATCGAATATACAAAAGAAGATAGAGAAGAATATGGAAATACAATACCAATAGAAGTCAATTCACTTGGAAATGAATGTTTTTATGGATGTGATGATATTCAATCAATTAATATACCAATAAATGTTAGTAAAATAGGAGATGAATGTTTTATAGGGTGTACATCATTAACATCAATTGAAATACCAACAAGTGTAACTAAAATAGGAAATGAATGTTTTTATGACTGTTCAACATTAACAACAATTACTATACCAACAAATGTTAGTAAAATAGGAGATAGATGTTTTTCCAGATGTTCATCATTAGTATCGATTACTATACCAACAAATGTTAGTGAAATAGGAGATTGGTGTTTTTGTGAATGTTCAACATTAACAACAATTACTATACCAACAAATGTTAGTGAAATAGGAAATTGGTGTTTTTGTGAATGTTCAACATTAAAATCAATTAATATACCAACAAGTGTTAGTAAAATAGGAGATGGATGTTTTTATGAATGTACATCATTAACATCAATGAATATACCATCATCAATTACATCATTTGGATGTGGGTGTTTTTATCATTGTGGATGTGAAAAAGAATTAAAGGAGAATAAAACAATACCAGAATATTGCTTTTGAAGAATATTAAAGAAGAAAGAAGATAATTGAATTGTTAAAGAATAAAAAGAATGTTTATTTTATAATTTAACTGATAAGAAATACATAATAAACAATTTAATTGATAATAAAATAAAGAATGAAATATCAAATGAATGAAATGTGATAAAAATCATTCATCATTGATTTAATTATTATTATTATGTTATGTTTATTCATTTTTAATTTATTTCATATTATTTATTTGTTTCAATATGTTGAATTAATAGAAATATAACATCAATCATATTCATTGATAAATATTGATGATGAATGATAATATATTTCAAATATCAATCATATTTATCATTTCATGTATTTTGTATTTATTTTTTATTATATTTCAATGATAATGTTGATGTGAATTGTTGATATTGAATAACAAAGATGATGAATGTCATAATTCATAATATGATGAATGTGTTGTTCAATGAATATGAATAATTTATATTAAATTATTTCATTTTATACAATTGTGTTTCATTTATTTTTGATTGAAACGTATATTCAATGAGAATGATATTTATCATTTTCTATATCTTGTTTATTTTCAACTTATTCATATGATTTGAAGAATAAAATGAATGTGTTGTTATTATGTTTAATGTTTCTTATTATTTTTACAAATATATACACAACATCAAATTATTCATAATTCATTTTATTTGTTTGTCAAATTAATCTATATTATCATGACTGTTATATTTGATAGTGACGAGTATTTGTAATGATAGAATTTACATTATTAATTACAATGACATTCTCATTGTTATTGAATGATTTTTTGATATCGTGTGAATCAAGAAATGAATGAGAATAATTGAAATGGTAAATTATATTACAAAGATGTGGTATTGATTGATTTAATTAATTTTCAAACAAGGTATGATGAATAAGAAAATAAAAATATGCAATGTGTTTTTTTCACAATGAGTGATGAATTAATAATGATAAACGGATATTTTGTTAAATGTCTAGTATCATATTTGATTTGATTTATAATTAAAAGTAAACATAATGAGTTGAAATAGTGATATGAATAAAGTGAATAATAATGATATTTTCATATGATTAAATGAATAAAGTTGATTATTCTTTATAAATATAATTAACATTGTTTGTATTTAAATCAATATTCTAAACATATAGAAATGAAACAAATATTTAATAATTAAATAAATGATAATAATAAACATTCTTATGAGTTTAATTTGTTCATTATGATTTGTTTAATATTTTAACAAAATCAAATAACAAACAATGTAATATGAATATTTTGTTAAATGTGTATTTAATTGATATGAATATTATTTTATTTAACACATATTCATTATGTATTTATTCGTATTATGTGTTTCTTGTTAATTATCTGTGTTTCTTATTATCTTTTGATTTTTAGATTCTTTCTTTTGTTTTAATCCAATTCAATGAATTTATTTAATAAATGTTCAGTGATGGGCAACGAAAAAAAGCAAATAATTGAAAAAGAAGAGAATGAAAGATATAAAAGAATAAAAAGAAAGTAAGAAGTAGAATATGATGAAGAAAGAATAAAAGTAGAAAGGAGAGAAGATAAAAATAAAGAAGATAAAGTGTAATAAAACAAAAGAGATGATAAAAGAAGAAAAGAAAGAAAAAAAATAAAGGATGCAAATTTTATTGAAACAAATAAAAAAAGCGCAAAATTTAATGATGCAAAAATTAATGATGCAAAATATTTAGCAACATATTTTATGGATGCAAAATATTTTGAAATAAAAATAAATCATCATTTGATATTATTATATTTGATAATAAATTATATTATATATTAAATACATCATATTTCTTTATTATTTATCTTTCTTTTTATTATTTCATATATTAAATTATTATTCATTCATTTATTATTTATATTTCATTTATTAAATAAAATGAAAATGAAATTGTAAAATATCAATCAATTAAATATTCATGAATAATAATTTATTAATATTTAATAATTGAAATAACAAATAATAAAGTAACAATAATGATATATTCAATATATTCTTTATTTGATTTGTTCAATATTAGATTATTCTATTTCATTATCATTTCATTGTCTTCATTATTTCATTTATTATTTCATATTCATTTATTATTTGTTTTAAAATCAAATAAACAATAATATTGATATTTATTCATCATATTCATTTAATATAATAAATATACACAACATTTCAGAATAAAGAATGAATATTTAACATTGAAAATATTGATTATATTTAATATTTTGTTCAACATAAAATCAATAAAACATATATTTTGATAATACACAAATGAAATATTAAAGAAATATACAATACTCAAGAACTAATAAAAAAGAAATAAAAAGAATGAATGAATATAAAATTGATAAATAATAGAAGAAAGAAATAGAAAAACAACGAAAAACAAATAATATAAAAATAATATAAATATATAAAAGAATAAAAAGAAAGTGTGAAGAAGAAAGAATATAAAAATAATAAATCACAAAGAGATGATAAAAGAAGAAAAGAATGAAAATGGTGTATTTTTAATG